GATAGATAGATAGATAGATAGATAGATAGATAGATAGATGAAATACCTTTGATTTTGTTCTTTCTCCTCTTGAAATCTTGCTTTGTCATACTTTTCAACATTCTTTTCATTAATCCGCCACAGGACTTTAGCCAAGAACTGAGAGCCTTTTCCAAGGCAAGCTAAGCAGGTGATATTCACCGGTTTTCCTAGATGGGAAGTGAAGAAATCCACAAGGAAAGTTAAATTCTGCAAGTGGCATCAGTTTCACTCCATGTAGTAAACCTTCTGCCGTCCGGCCCACTTCCCTTCCTCATCTTCCTGTGCCTTCTTTGCTCTCTATCACATCCCCACCAGGGTCTCCATTTTCCTCACCAACACACCACCCTCTGGCCTCAGGAAACACTACCTGCCCTGGCATCACAGCTTCCGCAATCATGAAGGAGTTGCTGATAGCTGAAACGTGAGTTTCTTTTTCCCTGGTTCCTTCCACATTTTCCCCTTCCCACAGAATCCCCTTGTCACTGCCTTTGGAGATAAAACCGCTTTGCCCAGCCCAACTATTATCCTAGATGTAAAACATTCACAACAAATAAGCTCCACTGCTCCATCCCATTGCCTTCAACTCGAGATGTTCTTTCGGAAGTGAAAACATCAGAGCTGATTTTGGGCGCAGTTGTATAGTTAGCCCCTGCTTCCTGAACTACAGGCTCCCACCAGGAGCTTGCCTAAAATAAGGCACATAATTGGCAAGGGGACCTGAGAGTCTCTGGAACAGCAACACTATGAAGTAAGGATTAGAGGCTACCACACTACAGACAGAAATGGTAGTGGCCAAGACTTGAGTTGAGACAAAAATCAAACGCTCTTCTTTGGCAAGGAAGAGGGTGGCAGGTAGGATTACAAACAGGGAGTTATATATTATCTTACTCCTCAGAAATACAGGAATATCAGTGTGGGAGTCATAGATTACAGATGGGAGAGGAGAGAGACGTGACTCATCATGGTGTTTCAGATCCCAAGTCTTTTTCATCATATCCAGCTTCAAATGGAACTCAACACGAGAAGAGATGTAGAGATTCATAAATCTATTCTTATTCTTTTGCTATCACTCATCTATGACCTTGGGGCGTGCCTTTGAGCATCTCTGAACCTAAGTTCCTCCAAAGTAAAGTAAGGACATCTGCCCATTGGGTAGAAGTGACCATAAAAAGAGATGCTTAAATGAGGACCATGAACTCTAAGGTCCTAATACAAATACAGTGTTGTGACAGGGACAGGTATTTCCATACTGCCACCTCACATGATCCCCAAGTTCCCATCTACCAATTGCATGACTCTTCCATAAGAAACTAGACCCAGAATCAGAAGGAAATATTCTCCAGGTTAACAGGGAGTTGTTTAAAATTTCTTACCTATTTCTACTTCAATGGTTTTGTTGTGTGGAGGGAATTTAATTACTGGAAACACAGAAAAGCTTTTTTCTTGAAATTAAAAAAACAGAAATAGAATCTAAGTATTATTGCATTGATTAGTCATCAATATAAGCAAATTTTTTCGTATTTCTATTTTATTTCACAGTATTGTTGTCAACTGTTTTGAAAATAACCTTTGGCAATTCACACACACACACACACACACACACACAAATGAAACAAATATCTTAAACAACACCTTTTCTGACTACTATGATACCTTTGTAACATCTTCTGTTCTCTTCTATATCATTAAAACAAATGCTGGTCTAACCCATTAGTTGTATGACCTGCAATTATTTGAAAACCATAATTCTGTTGGATAGGCATATATGACTATATGACCATACTGAGAAGAGGAAGTCAATAGGCTCGGGAAAGTGACGCGCTGCTCACCACCTTCCGCCACCATGCTTATCCTCGGAAGGGCTCCTTCCTGTGTCCCCTGAGACTGAGGCACAGGGAAGTAGGAGGTCTCTTGGAGCACAGATGAATTTTTCATCCCTAGCTGGTCATTAATTTCAGGGTGTTGCGATTAGGAAACGCTACAGGAGTTGACATTAGACAAGGAGAGACACAAACACAGCTGTGGCCGGATGGCACTTATTTTCCAGCAATGGAGGACCGAAGAGGCTCTGAACAAAAATTTTCTTCAGTATTGATTAGTCCTTTCCTTGTTCACCGCCACTTGGATGGTGAGACCCTCCCCTCAGTCTCCTCTACAGAGGCAACTGTGCCCAGAAGACCTCAGTTCTGTCAACGCCATCAGATATGATTAGAAAATCATGCCCTCAAGTGGCTTCTACAATATTGAAAATGTGTTTGGAAAAAGTTCTTTTCTAAGCAAATAGCCTACTTTGAAGATGCCGATGATACCAGAAGCACATAAACCATGACTGAAAACCAATCGGCAGTGTGCATAAAGGTCATGGTGCCCTGTGACACTCAGGCCTCTCTATCTGCGGTTTTTACATCCATTAACTCAACCAGCTATGCAGGGACATCAGTTGCGTCTTCGCTAAATGTAGTACAAAGTTTCCTCGTAGCAGGCAATATGCTTGTCTATGCAACTTCACACTGGTTACTACAAGCCATCTAGGGATGAAGTAGAGCTTAAGAGGGGGGATGAGGGCTTCTGAGGAAATATATGAAACGAGAGCGTCCAGGATTTAGGTAGATGAGTATTTTGGAAATCAGTCCAAAACAGGGGTGGGGAGAAGTAAATTCAGACTGCTTTATCCTTGAAAATCAATCTCCAAAGGGGGGTGGGGTGGGGAATAGCTATCTATGGCTTTGGTTCAATAATATATCTTTCCTTGGAATTCTTAAACCTTGTGTTGTACAACAGTAACTTCCTGTCACAGTAGAGTGTGTGGATAAGAGCCAGAAGGGCATAGAATATGGACAGAGGATAGAAAATACAACAGGAAATATTTGCTTCTCCCTTCTCGTTTTTGTTTGGCTCCCGCACCTTGCTGAAGCCAGGAGCTTTACCTTGGACCGTGAATGACCGGGTTGCCGTCACGTTGTAACTGGTCCCGTTCTCCGTGTGCGTGAATTTACACGTGTAGTCCCCTTCATCGTCTCGCCCCACGTTATTAATGAACAAGTATGCTCTGTGTGCTTTGTACTTTGGTTCTTGAAGAGCTTCGCAGTTCTGCAGCAACGACCGGAAAAACATCCCGTTTCTCTTCTACTGAGGTTTTCACTTTCCGCTACATCTCCCCAAATGTCAAACTTTTACCTTAAACCACTGTACAGGCGCTGTCCAATTATAGTAGGAGATTGTTGGACAAGTTATCTTGGAGTTCTTTTCTGATCCACTTACTGTTTTGTACATCAAATGATCGGGAACGTTGCAGCCTGTTATCTTTCTATGTATGGTAACATTCATGTATTCAGTCATATTAAAGTCGGGGCTACGGAAAGAAGGCAAGCATTTAAAAGTGTTACCTGCTACCACGAGATAGCTTAATCCAACACCACCCCTTGGGCAGTGCTACTCTTGCAAAAAAAATGATGGATACAGTTCTTCTCTTATGACAAAATAATCATCAAAATCTTGAGCTTTTAAAGACTTCATTTGCTACACCGGAGATAAAACAAAGCCTTGAAAATGGCTTTACCAGATCCTCATCACCCACTGACATGCTAGGATCCTAACCAAAATATTTGTTGGTGATTGTTGAGCCAGACACAGAGCTAAGCACACTTTGACATCATGTTATTCTCACAGCGATGGTTTTTTGTTGTTGTTTTGGAACATGATGCTACCATATGGGTTTTACACACGAGGAACTGAGAGACAGAGAAGTCACGTGGTGGCACTGCACACCTAACTGGTAGAAGAGCTTGGGTTGGAACTGTCATCTCCAAACCTAGGCACCAAGTTGTAGCTAGGCTAACGTGAGACTCTGTGAGTAGCAGAGATGCTGTGAGATCTAAGCACAAGGCCATTGCAGTGCAAACTGAGGGTTTATAGACACAGAGACTGGGTCTCTGCAGTCTCTCTCTTCGTCTCAGGTTCTGGTATCTACACCTTTTCGCCCAACACAGAACTTTGGGATGCCAAATGTCTGGGCTTCCACTTGTTAGTTTTTCTTACTCTCAGACCACAGTTAGTGATAACTCATTGTTCTTGGGTCACTAGAAAAGCGGGACATTTTTCTATTTAGAATGTATATGCATATATATGGCCTTGCTGTGGTATGTTCAATAGCCCATCACCAGTCAGGCTGCTGATCTTCTCGGGAGTACTTTCTGGTTCAAATCACTTCACAAATTTAACCATTCCTCTGAGGGGCAGAGCAGAGAGGAAGCAAGGACAGCTGGAGCCCCGGTCATTAATGAGAAGGGAGCAGGCACAAGGCTCACAACGGATTCCTGCACAGTACCTTCTGACCACGCAAGCATAGATCCCAGAGTGAGTCACTCTGGCTGGTAGAAACTTCAGGCGGTCTCTGGAGACAACGATCCCATTGCTTTTCTGAGTAGAAATACTCTCATTTGTACTTGAGTTAAACCATTCCACATGATCAAGCGGGCCTCCGCCTTGGGGGCATCTCACAATTAAAGCCTCATCCTCCAGACCCCAGACTGGTTTACCTACAAAGAAAGTATGCACACGACCCTGAAGTGCCCATGTGAACAAAAAAAAAAAAAAAAAAACCAAAAAAAAAAAACAGTTCTTTTCATATAACTCAATGTTTCCATTCTCGATTAGATTTTTAAAGAGGCCATATATTATGATGCTTTGAAAAATATTGTCAACAGTTAAAAGCCTTTACTACATGTACTACATGGTGCAGTAAAATAAGGAATCAGTTTTGAGCTGATGTTCTCCTTCGCTCCTAGGGGAAAACACCTATATTCACCCAAACACGTTGTCAGTCAATAAATCCCCGTAATGCCTGCCACATGCAGGTACTGTGCTCAATCTTGATAAACATAACTCAAAAATTATGATCCACTCACAAGAGGGAATTCCTACTGGGAGATTTATGACAAAGAATGTGCGAAGAGGAAATAATTTTGCTGCACACAATTCAGCCCAGAGCACCTGGAAGCAAGCAACTGAAACGCAACAAATGTCCCCAGAATTACTTAAGTTAAAAAAACATACAACTTAGCTGAGCACCAATACTTACTGCTCTTGGTTACTGAGGAATACATGGAAACTGTCAGAACTGCCAAAACCCAAAGCCCCATTCTCCGCTTGTCAATCTCGTGCTGGTGATTGATAGATCAGAGGCACAGAATGGTTACGATGGACTCGCCAGGTGTTTGATGACTGCTGTCTGACTTAGGGTCCAGAAGAGAAGTCACTGTAGCCATTGAAAAATAAATCATATAAAACCACAAGTAAAATATTTATCCTGCCCTGCTTTTTACTTACTAAAGATTGTAAAGGAGAATCAGTCAGTGAACACGTATTTATTAAATTCGCTTATGCATAAGAGCAGGGTCTCAGGTGTCCAGTGTCACATTCATTCCGACTGAACTTGGAACTAGAGAACAGCTCTCACAATTAGATTACTTCACAGTCATTTCTTCCCAGTCTCTTGAGCATACCCATTAAGAAGCTAAATTAAGAGGAAAGCAAACAATTTTTTACATTTGAAAAAAAAATCAGAACCATAAAATTGAGTGAATACTAGAAAACACTGTATCATGCCAAACCACAGTCTGCTATTTTACACTCTGGTACACACAGATAACCGCCACAGAAGCACTAAGGAAGGAAAATTTGAACTAAAACTTCAGCCAAAAAGCCACCCAAGCCTGCTGCCCAAACTTTCAAAGAATTGCCACTGCCTCCGCGTGTTCTCAGGGGCCACAGAGCATCACTGGAGGTCTGGAGACAAGAAACATTGGCTTTCTGACAGAAGAACTGGTTGCTGTAGCCTTTCCCTTCAGCCACCAGCGAAGGGGCACAGGCAGGAATAAATGTGAAAAATCCTCATTCATTTCAAGAGAGGACATTTCTTTGACTTGCAGATGATTTTTCTTTTACAAATTTCAGATAGCCCTCAATTCTTACCCCAGTGAAGGGCTGGAGAGAATGAACTCAGGGCACTGAGCCTGCTTCTGAGCCCCAGGAGCTCTGCCGTCAGGTTTCCGTGGACTACTGTGTGGACATGCTCCTTCCTTCATTTTAAACACACAGACGTCTTGGAATTTTCTACCCCACCCACCACGAAATTTGAGTTTTAGCCAAACTCCATGACTTGTTCGAAAATGCTGCTGTATCACTTACTAAGAATTTTTAAACTTACCACATAAATATTTAATCATAAGGACAATGTTAAAAGCCATTTCGGGAGAACTGCCTAAATTACTTCCCCCTGTTTTAGCAGGGTCACTCTGGCTGAGGTAAACAACGCTGTTTATTTCCTCAGTGTCTCAATGTTCAGTTCCAAAATGACACACACACACACACACCAGACTGTCCTTCAGCTACTCCCTGGCAGGGCCTCTGGCTGACACCTGTCAAGGGGCACAATCAACCTTTGTGGTGTGGGCAATTTCACAAACTACCACGAATGGCAGGTAAGAAAGGGCAGGAGTCGGGGAGGTGAGCCCTGAGATGCAAGAGGACTTCACATTACATTACTCAGAAATGTTCTATAAGAGCCAAGCCTTTAAACCCAGCACTCGGGAGGCAGAGGCAAGTGGATCTCTGTGAGTTCGAGGCCAGCCTGGTCTACATAGGAGTTCCAGGACAACCAGGGCTGTTAACACAGAGAAAACCTGTCTCAAAAAATAAAAGAGAGAGAGAGAGAGAGAGAGAGAGAGAGAGAGAGAG